ATATTTTTAAGTTCACAAAAAAAATTAAAACCATTCTATACAAACACTGTACTTTACAGCTTATAAGCAATTTTACATTTCATTCTTCTGACAATTCAGTTAGGCAAGCAAGGTATTATTCTTGCCTGCCTATAGCCCCCAACAGATATATGGAAATGTGTAGAACCATGAGTCACATCCAAATCCTCTGCCTCCATATCCTACGTCTTTTTTCACCATTCTACATATTAACTTTCATATGGTTTACTAAAAGCCGTCACATTTCTTATCTCCTTTGAACATTCATCCTGGAAATCTATGAACTCCTTTATACTTCATCCAGTTAGGCAGGCAAAGCAGGGCATCACTCTCTGTTTACAGATCAATTAGTATGATCACTGATCTTTCCAAAAATGACAAAACTAATAAATATTAAAATTGCGGCATATCCAGAAGATGATGACCAAACTCACAAAAGGTCAAAAACTAAGTAAGATGAAGAGTGGCTGAAGGAATTAGGATGATTAATTTAGAAAGAAGGAGAGAGCAACACACACACACACACACACACACAAATTTTGTCATCAGACATGTGAAGGACCATCATATAAAGGGATCAGATTAGTGCTGTAAGGCCCGGGAGTTAAAAGAAATTCAATATTCATTCAATAAACAATTAATGGGGATCTACTCTGTGCTAGATGTTTGTTCTACACCACGTAAGAAAAGTCCAAATCCTCAGGAGGGTCAGACTAGTAGAGAAGACAAGAAATAAGTAACACAAGATGAAAAGGACTCAGAAAGCTATGGGCACACAGAGAATGATGACTCTAACTCTCTTTGGGGGAGGGGGCTACTAGAAAAAAATGCACTGAATAGATGAGTAGGTGGGAAGTGGCATTAGCAGGAAGAAAGGGACTTCTCTGGTGGTGTAGTGGTTAAGAATCCGTCTGCCAATGCAGGGGCCTGGTCCGGGAAGATCCCACATGCCACAGAGCAACTAAGCCCGTGCGTCACAACTACTGAGCCCATATGCCACAACTACTGAAGCCTGCACGCCTAGAGCCCATGCTCCACAACAAGAGAAGCCACCGCAATGAGAAGCCCGTGCAGCGCAACAAAGATGAGTCCCCGCTAGCCGCAACTAGAGAAAGCCCAAACGCAGCAACAAAGACCCAATGCAGCCAAAAATAAATTAATTAATTAATTAATAAAAAAACCCAGGAAGAAAGAACAGCATGTGCAAAGGCCTGGAGACCTGAAGCTCTGCAGTTAACCTGGAGTGGTGGAGCACCAGGTACACATTAGAAGTGCCAAGAGATGAGGCTTTAAGCTGGGAGTGTGGGAGCCCTGTAGTAAGGAACACAAAAGGCCTCACAATCTTCATGCCAAGAAGTTCAGACTCTAACACTCAAGCTACAGAACACTAAGAGTTTATAAGTAGCAGAGTGGCATGCTCAGAAAAATATATAAGAAAGTTCATTCTAGCAGGAGGACAGACTTCTAGAGGCTAACAGCGGAGATAAAGAGATTAATTTACAGAGCTACTATTGTTACTCTAGGTGGAGTGATGATGATTCGAGAAATATCTAGGAGGTAAAAAAAAAAAAATCAAGGAGAACTACTGGCTATGGGAAAGAGGGAAGGAGGAGAGTCCAGGATGACTTCTAGATCACAACTTGGTTGAGTGATGAACAGTGGTGTCCAAGGTGGGTAACAAAGGAAGACAAGTCCATGCAATCATTCAAACAATATGAGAGTCCTGGACCAGAAACTGGTTTGTTATTGTCTGGAGAGAGGGGATGAGGGAAGAGGTACAAAGATGAGTTTACCTTTAGTCTTGTGTAATGCAAGGTACCTCTTCAGTGAAGCTACAGAGTGACACGTGAAGCAGAGTGGACTAGGAGAGTCATTAGCTTACAGTAGCAACTGAACACAAGTAAAGTATACAGAATGAGATCAACCTTAGATACCAATATTTGATGAGAATATGAAAGAAAAACCTGAAAACAAATGAAGAATTGATCAGAGGAGTAAGAGATGAATCAGGAGATAGGGTGACGCCAAAAAAAGGCAGGAGAAGATAAAAAAAATTCAAGAAGGTGGGGAGGGTGAAAATTAAAGTTAAATGTACTACATAAAGCAAAGTTTACTAAAAGAAGTTATTCAAAACGGGAATAGACTACCTTGTGAGGTAATGAATCACATCATCAAGTTAATGATTCAGGCAGACAGAGTCACCTATGCAGGATGTTGACAAGAGGATTCTTACCTTAAATGAGAAGTATAGCTACATGACCTCTATAGTACACCTCTGAAGTCTAGGTCAAGGCTAGCCTCAGCATCATTAGGACATCAAATGTTCTTTTGCAATCTGATCAGAGAATTGGATATTTGATTATTCTAAGAAAAGTTTTAAAAAACAATTTCTACATATTTCATGTAACTCAGAAGCAACCAATACTGGATTAAAACTTTTCACTATTTCTGCTCTTGGGATACAAAAAATTGATGCTGAAATGGTAGAAATAGCTGATCTAGTCTACTTCAAATTCAAACTGATTTCAAATAAGCTCTCACATTGTCTTCCTAACGTTCTCCATTCTGGCATCCCAATCCCACCTGAGCACCATTCCTTAACCTGTTCACTCTGATTAGAGAAGACCTGCAATGCGCGGTTGACTTTATCATGTCATCTTGCCCTAGGTCCCTGCATATCTTTTCAGTAATCTGCCCCTCCTTGCTTCCTAAAGCCAGACTGTGTGCCTAATCATTTCCAACCCTCTGCCACTGCTGACCATTTTCTATCACCAGTCCTTCTCTCTTTCCTCCACCTCCTCATGTCTACCCAATGTTGGAAAAACACTCCATTTATCCTGCTGTCCCACATCCTATTGTTCTCCTTTTACTACCAAATATCTCCATACCCTAGCACCTATTCACTGTAATCCCCTACAGAAAGGTATCTCAGCAATTAAAAAATTAAACCACTTACGAATGACATCTGATTTATTGAAACAGCTTGTTCCATTGCTGCTTACTCCCTTCTCAATCCCCTTGATGTCTCTGCAGCTGGCTAAAGAACTGACCAACCCTTCCTTGCTGCAGTTATTCCTTTCCCTTTGGAAGTGAGGCAGAATGGTTTGTGGAATGCACTCTGCACAGGATCAGAAGATCCGTGCTCTAGACCCAACCATACCACTAATTAGCTGTGACTCTCCTCACCTCCACTCCTACTCAGATCTCACTTCTGAGACACCCTGACACCCAGTCTAGGTTAGGTCCCTGCAGTATACACTTTCTCAAAACCTACTCTTCTCCTCAGTAGTGCTTATCACAACTTAATTACTATATAATTAGTGGCTAAATGGCTATCTTTCTAACCCACATGCCAGACGGCAATACTCCATGAAGGCAAAGTGCACATTTCAGCCATGCTTTACACCTCTCATCAGCACAAAATAAAAGCCCATCAATTGAATTAACGGTGAGACAGATGTTATGACTTCCTAAGAGACTTATTACTTTTATTAATCTAAAATTACTAGCACTTTACTTACAAAATTATTGACAAAATTTTAAGCAGTAACACACACATAATAGATGAACTACATGTAAAATTAAATAAGAGTCTTCCAAGATAGTTACATTTTTCTTGCCTATCCACAAGAATAGAAAGGGTTGGATCAGTTACCTACATTTCAGGACCAACATGTGTACTCTAGGCTGAATGTGCAAGTGTGATACTAAAACACTATTGTTTATGTGGCTGTTTTGATAATACCCATTGGTACTTCAGGGTTAAAGCATTTAACACTGGCAAAAGCCGTGTACTACATATACTCTGTAAGAATATCAAAAGAAAGCTTTTATCAGCCAAATTACATTGCCGTGTGATTTTAAATATAAACCAGAGAAAAACAAGTAATGGTTTAGTGAACAGAAGCTGCCACTGTGCCTGACAAGATGACTTTCAAATACAGAAATTTCGGATCTCATGCAAGTAGGTGAAAGTTGTCAAGTTTTATGATACACCACCTTGGTCAAACAATTTAAACAGATTACATGCTAATTTGTCCTTCATCTGCTGAATCTGCTCCGCAATTACACTGTAAGGTCCTTACGGGCAGGTTTGGCGTTTTGTTAATTGGTCCCCTTAAATAAATAGGAATGCAGGTGACTTCAATAATCTATGATATAGAAAACCTGAAAATGGCTTTTGCGGCTAAATATACTTAAATATTGCCACCTGAAAACAACGTTCAAGTACTTAAAATCCGATGCTTAGACCATTCCCTAGGTTAAGAGCAGTTAACAGGCTGTAAATATAGTTGTAATTCCCAGGAAAGAACAAGCATTTTCATAACGGGAACACTAACAGAATCACTTGGAGCTGTTCTCCAAGGCGCCCTCATCGTTAAGTCAACACAACTGGTTATGAGGGGACAACCGTGTCCCTCGGACACCCTCTGTCTTCCACAGCCTCGGGGCTACAAATCCCGCACGAGGAGTCCCTCGAGATCAACCAGCGCTTCCCTGAGACTTCAGCTGGGAAATCCCTGGCCAGGGAATGCGGAGTTCAAGCCCCCCTCCCGCTTCCTTTCCTGAAAATTAATGAATTGGCCGTACGATTGTTTATTTAATGAGGTGTGTAGTGGCCTCTACTGGTGCTTGTGTGAGCACAAGAATGTCCCACTCTTACAAGTGGGATGAGCCTGGGGGAGGGGAGGGAGGCGAGGGGTGAACCTGCCTCCGGGTACAAAGCGCAGAACTATAGCCCGGAGCCCCCGATGCGCCCCCACGGCCGCCCCTCCCCCAGCAGCGCCCCCGCCTGCCCACTTCACTCTCTACCCTGCGCGACCCCCTTTCTCCTCGGCAACCCGAGACGAGGCAGAGAAGTTCCTACACGTTTCCTCCTGGATCCTAAACAAAAACACCGCAGCGGCCGCCGCCGGTGCCGGTGCCGCGCCCCCGCCCCCACCCCGCGCCTCCCGGGCCCGCACCCCACGACCGCCGCTTACCTGGGGATTGCGGCGGGGAGCCGCTCCTGGCGGCCGCGGCGCCCGACGCCCGGCGCTCGAGCAGCAGCAGGCAGCAGAGCCAGAAGGAGAAGGTGCTGAGGAGTCGCCGGGCTCTCCGCTCCGCCGCCATCTCTTCCCCGCGAGCGGCGGCGGCGGCAGCGCGGCGGAGCCCTCGCCTCCTTCCCTCCCGCGCGCCTCAGCCGGTCCCTCGCTGCAGGCTAGGCTCCCGCGGCCGCCGCCGCCGCCGCTGCTCCAGCCCGGCCCGGCCCGGCCCGCGCGGCCCCTCTCGCGGGAGGGGAGACTCGGGGGCGCCTCCCTCCTGCAGTGGGGAGGAGAGGGGAGGAGAGCGGAGAGCGGGGAGTCACTACATTCCGGGGCGGGGAGGTGGGTCTGTCTCCAGGTTCCAGGCGCCGCCACCCACCGCCGACTCCGGCTCCACACAGCAGCGCAAGGGGGGCGGAGACCACGGGCGGCAGGGGTGGGGGGCGGGGACCCGGGGCGCGCACCCCCGCGCACGCGCAGGCGCGCGCCTCCCTCGCCGACACCTCCTAGGCTCCGCGCGCGGCCCGCCCCCGCTCCAATCCCAGCTGCCGCCTCGCGGGCCGCGGCGGCGGGCACGCTCCCCTCCCCCTTGTCCCCGGAGCCGGGGACAGGCGCGGGGAGCGCGCGTCTAGCGCTGCTGCTGGCGTCAGGGAAACCCCGGAGAAGCGGATCCTCCTCCTCCTACTACTTCTCCTCCTCCTCCTGGCCTCCTCGCACCGGGGAGAAATTTCCCCCGCCTCACCTCTCCAGACGCCTCTGGCTACGGAGACCTGAGGGCGAGAGGCGCTCCGAGCCCGGGCTTGTCCGAGAGGCCGGAGCGGGCGCGCACCTCTTTCAGCCTGGGCCCAAGGCCCCTATATAGGGCCTCGGAGGAAGCCGAATGGCCTCCGGGAGGAAACCTGGGTGCGCAGAGGGTCGGCGTGGGGCTTAACGTGCCAGCCAAAAACAATAGCGATCCCTCCCGGCTCTTGCTGGGACCTGGCGCGGCTCCCGTGGGAGGGGGCCTGCCGCCCCGCCTCTGACCTCCCGCTTCCCGGCCGGGCCGCCCTTGCCGCGAGCTTACCCAGGACAGTGCCGGGCCCGCCCGGACCGCTGGACCCGCCCCCCCACCCGCGGCTCTCCGCCCGGGTCCAGGGAAGCAGGGCGCAGACAAAGGTGCCCGGTGTCCACTCCACCAGCCAGTGCGGGGACCTAAGCCGAGCCCCATGACTCCCCAGGGCTGATCCTCGGGCTGTAACTGAGACCTTTTACCTCTACTTTTGCGGGCCACCTCGCATTTCGTACCTGGAAATAACGTCTCTTCGCTGATAAAGCGGGAGCAGGAGGGATGTGATTTTAAACCACTTGGTAATCGTGAGGCAGCACCCAGGCTACCCAAAGTTAGGAGTAAGCAGTTTGGAGTTATACTGCTGATGAGAATACTGAAAATCTTATAAGTTACACCCATGGAAAATATTTTGAGAAAATTTTGTTGTGTTGGTTATGCACTTGGAGAGTCATGTTCGATTGTTAATATGAGTTGGATTTTTATTCACTGTTCCGTATACCCAGTAACCAAAATGTGTTGCTTTCCGCAAGTAGATGGCTAGTTCTCTGACTTCCACAGCCCTCTGTGCCTTCTCGTAATTACTTTCTTCAGATATTTTCTTTTATTCTAAAGTGGCAGAAAGCAGTGTGAGGTTTGCGGTAACATTGGGAGGGGTAAGCTCAGAGTCCTCATAAAACCTCTCAAACCATCAAAACGGTGGAATCAGGAACCCTTTGAAACAATTGACGCTTAAAAGAGCAAACACGGGCTTATTGTTTTCCACTAGGGAAACAATTTAAATATCTTTTTGTTTTGGTTAGACTTGTTAACCAGCAAAAATATTTCCTAAATACCCCTGATTGACCAGTTACATTAGAAATAGATTACCTCCCAATTACTTCACAAGTATTTGCTTAATTAACCTTTAATAATCACATCATTATTCAGTTTTCTGAGGTAATTAATGAGAAAGCTCTTTGGAAACTGTAAATTGCCTGGCAAATGTTAATATTCAGTCATCTTTTCTAAGTCTGGAAATTTTTCATTGTATCATAAGTATAAAATGCATTATAATGTGACTTTGAAAAGGAAACTTGCATTTATCTCCAGGTTTGAAAAATAAATGAGTTGTGGCTAATAAGGTAATCAGATTGTTTTTCATGTATGACCTTTGTGAACTCTCTAGTTAATTTATCAGTCCACTGTGTGTATCAGGATTAAATCAGAAGTTTAAAGCACCTTCTGTAAAATAGGGTGACCGAATAGTATATTGCTGGCTTGTGCTTAAATCAGTTTTAACAAAACCCACTCTAATAAACCACTAATAAATGAAGCCCCAGATTAAAAATTACAGATTTTATAACAGTTCAAGAGTAAGATTGTAAAGTAACCCACACACTTGAATTCAGATCCTTCACCTTGTTTCAATGTAACCGACATTGTAGACATTCCCTTTCAAAATCATCATTTGGAGTAATTAACCTCTCCTTTCTTTAGTAAGGCATCTCTGAGAAAACATTTTATTAGGCATCTTATTTATCATTTTCATTCTCCAAACAAGATTTCCAGCTAATACATCAATCCACATTTATAGGCTAGCCAACGTATTTTTAGGTAGTCTATTAATCTACGAAGTGATATTAAACCATTCATGAAATTAACACTTTTTTTCATCTAAGTAAAGTTAGAACGTGAGACCCATGTTCAAGGAATAGTGCACAAAGAAACTTCTACAGCAAAGAAAACAGACTGGCCATTGTGTTAGTGTAAGTTATCAAAGTGCAGGCCAAAAATAACTAGAGCAAATATTCTTGTGAAATTTATTCTAAGTACTATAATATAAAAATTAATAAAGCCTATGAATATAAAACTTGGTCAGAATCTTATTCTCTATAGTGAAAGGATTATTTTTCAACTTTAGAGAGGCAATATAGTTCAGTGTTTAATTGCTGGCAGTAATTAGATTCTGCAGCTGATTCCCTGGCTGAATCCCAGTATCCAAGGTAGAGAAGAAAGCTAGCTCCTTGACAAGTAGATCCCAGTACAGAACACTCCCAAGTCACAGCAGTTTTAAACTAGGAATTACCCAGGTCTTAAGAACATGATTTTCTTCTGCATAGATGTTGACATTTTTACATTTGCTCTTTACATTCCACTAGGTAAGAGTTTTTATTTCTCCCTTTCTCTTCCAAAAGCCACCTGTTCTAGGGAGCCATCTCTAATTAAGCCCAGTTAAGAAGGATATGTGCTCCTTAAGGACAAAGCCTTCACACTATTAATTTTGCTTGTTACACGTTGCTTTAGTTAATCACACATCTTTAGTTCAACAACAATCTATTGACTCAACAAATATTACTGAGGACCTCTTATTTGCCAGATATCCTGGGTACTGGGATAACAAAATTATTTGTTCTTTTGTTTAATATTAATAATGCACTTCATATGTCTCAGGTCCTGCCCTCTCTTAGGGGAATGCAATGGTGAGCCATATAGACAAGGTTCCCGGCCTAGCAGGAAAGATAAACAATTATAACAAAGAAGTGTGAAGAGTGTTATGGTAGGGAAAGATAAGGAGTGTGGGAAAACATAGTAAGAGCATCTAATCTCACTAAATTGTGGGGGGAGGCGCTAGGGAGGAAAGAGGAGGAGGGCTGGGGAATTAGAGAAGCAGCATGAGTCTCTAAACTGAGACGCATGTGGAAGAAGAAGGGAAGGACTTGACTACCCCTGCAGTGGGAATTGACATCAGATTTGCATTTTAGAAGGATTACTCAGGCTGCTTCAAGGAGTGTAGGGTAAAAGGAGACAAGACCAAGAAAACCAGTTTAGATTTTTGTTAACAGTAGTCTGGGGAGGAAATGTGGGTGGCCTGGAGTTAAACAGAGGGAATTAAGAGAAGCGAACAGATAAGAGAGAGATTTAAGAGATAGAAACCACAGGGGTGTGTGGGAGAGAGGCGATATGGGTGATAGATTTCAGCTTGGGCCACTGAATGAAGATGGTGACATTCAGTGAGAAGGGACCAAGGAAGAGGAGTAGATTGGAGGCACTGTGAGTTTAACTTTGGACAAGTTTAAGGTGTCTATGTGATATTTGAGTAGAAATATCAGTAAACTGTTATTTGTCTCTGTAGTTTAGCAGAGAGAACTGGGCCAGAGAGAGGTGAGTCATCAGTGTATACCATATATTCCCAGATATAAGGTGCCTTTGAATACCGGGTGGCCCCCATTTTCCCAAATAAAATCCATCCACCTAATAAAATTTTGTGGTCAACTTGCATGTATAAATTTTTAGAGATATAGATGAAATAATCAAGGATCTACTTACAATGTTCCCTGTATTAATTTAATTATACTTAAATACTTTAAGTTACATATTATATAAAATGTAATTTTTAAAATAATTTTATTGAAACTCCTCACAGTGATTTATGATCACCAGGGTCACATTTTGAATCTCTGACATAGTTCTTAAGGACAGTCATCTTCACTTCTACCTAAGTTTTTGACCCTATATATGGTGTTGTCACTGGGAATTTTATTCCAGGCCACTGTATCTAATCACATTATATCATTCATCCTGTAATCATATTCACTATCATATCATCTTCCATATCATCTTTCAAAGGCCTGTTTACAAGGACATCCAATATTTGCAAATGTGAAGGAATTTCTCTAGAACTAATTTTTAAATCTGTGTTAAATTTCCTTCTTTCCTTTCTTACCAATTCTGTCAGGTGACTTCTATATGAACATTGAATGAGATCATTGCATGCTAATGTGTATTCCCCCAAAGAGCATTTTGTTATTCAAGGACTTTTTAAGGGTCAGAATATAAGGTGACTTCCTCAAGAGATTATTGTGAGCTGGAAGAAGGCAGGTGTTGGTCTTATATTCAGGTATGTATGGTAATGCCAAGAAAGTGGTTGAGATTGTCCCAGGAAAGTTGAGGACAGAAAGGAGGATTGAGGACTAGGACCAAACCCAAGGAACACCAATATGTTTAAAGTATAGAACAGAAAGAGGAACTTGCAAAGAAACAAGCAGACATGTGAAAGAAAACCAGAGGCATATGGTATCACAAAAACCAAGGAAAGAAAGTGTTTCAGGAATACAGGAGCAGTCAGTAGTGGCATGTGCTCCTGAGAGGTCAAGTAAGGTAAGACCTGAAAAACACCCGTTGAATTTGGTGATAAGGTGGTC